AGAGGAGAGAGAAAAGAAAAGAAAAGCAACAAGACACAGCAAACAATCAAACAGTGAGCAGATTGATGTGGCCGGTGACTGCTCATCAGAAACATAGAGATCCAGAGACAGGGATACCTGGTACAGGGAGAGAGACAGAACACGGTACAGGAGAAAGGAGACACAAAGTTAATGACATATAATAGCATATTAATTATTTCTTGCTAATGATATTAATGGAAACAACACATTTCAGTGTTTCCCATACACCGATTTATTTGTGACACTACAAGTCAATATCGACTGATCTGCAAGTAGATAAAGTTCATGCTAATTTTTAAAGCTTCTTTTTTCCTGCCAGTTAATTGAACATTAGTGTCATAAAACAAAACATAAGGCAAATTACCGCCCTAGTAGCAAATGATAAATGGACTTATACAGCACTTTTCTCTGCACTGAAGCACAATTATTGTGCTTTAACACTATTTGTCTGTTCACTCATTCCCTCAGACAAGCACTCACCCAGCAGTGATATCACCTGGAGAAACTTGGTTAAGCACACTACAACATGTGGAATGGACACACAAAATATAATATGAAAGCAGCTTATAAGACATAATAAATAATACACAGCCTGCACATCCCGATCAGCATCTTACAGGTATTTCTGAGAGCAGCTAAAGTCAGTCCATGTATACATGGTTTTTTTTTTTAAATACCTGGCTATACTGGACTTTAACTGGATTCTGATGGCTTTACCACTACCGACCAACCCAGCTCGGCTCTCCAGCAGATAAGCTTCTGGTGATGTCAAATATATGCGCCGGTAAACAGATTTATAAACAAAGCCACATGGTAGCTATTGAGACCAGCAGTGTTATTTCTTCATATTTACTTTTGTTCATCTTCCAAAGTATAGAAACTTGTTGTAGACTGAACCATGTTAGAGCATTGATTGAACAAAGACGGACTGAATGTATAGCTGAGTCACTGCATACATTTGCAGGTTTTGCCAAGTTTGGCTTTCCCATTTATTCCAAACCAAGGCAAAGCGAATAATGACCCATGTTGATTGCAGAGTTCATTTGTCCCAGTAGTTGCATTCTCACTGCCGTCAAAAGCCGAGGTGTGGCAAGTATACATAGGTTTTTTGGGCAGTGAGAAAAGGGATTTAAAGGCACGACATCTGACTGTGTGTAGCATCTCGCGTGCACCTTGAGTGAGGCTCGCACTTGTGTATCTACCGGGTGCTTGTTCGTTCACACATTGGAAGTGCTTGGCGTACAAACAGAATGCAGAGAAGCTACAGAAACACCTCAGAGAAGGGAAACTATATCCAGATCTCTGATAAATAGTACACAATGAGGGAATTACTGGCTACATATGAAACACATGTATATGTACAGAGTAAGAAACCCGTGGTAAACCACAGCAAATACAACCTACACACACTTCAAAAAGAACTGTGCTCAGTAGTATCAGACATTCTGTTTCTATTACCTGTTGCATCTGTTTACATTTGGAGAAGTACAAATATTGCACTTCATTTTTAGTTTAGGTTTGGAAAAAAAAATTGTGAGAAAGACAGAAAATGTAATACTTTAATACAATGTTTTTATTACAATTAAATATTTGATTAAAGAAAAGTTACAAAAATGTCTGTGCATGATGTAAATTACTGTTCTTAGAAAGAAAATTGGAAATTGGCAGATCAGACTTTTAAAAAATCAGATATCAGAAATCAGAATCGTCCAAGAAAATTGCAATCAGTGCATCTCTAAAGCAAAGTGGCCTCATTTCTAGTCTTTTGAGCAGAGAGATTAAAATATTACCATGTGCTGTCCCAGCCCCCTGTCAGCTCCCACCTCACATAGATTCTAATTTTGTTGGAAACACTGTAGCCTCTGTACACAAACACTGAAATCACTTTTGCTGAATGATTTCACTAAAGGTTTCTGAGTGTGTTTGTGCGCTGGTACCTTGGCTGGTTTAGTCCTGTTGTTGACAGCTGCCTCCTGAAGCTCTTCATATTCTTTAGATTCTGTGCAGTGGTTAGTTCACAGATGGTGAAACAAGCTGTCGAGTTTTCTTTAATGGCAAGTTTGCAGATTGCCATTTTTTGAGCAAATCTCTCTTTCAAAGCTAAAATATCTCTGTGCGAGTGAGGATGATCCACATCTAGCAGTAACTCTGGTGGATTAGTGCTCTCACTATCCAGGGTGCACTCTAGCAGCACATCATGTTTTGCAGATATGTACTGAATCACTCCAAAACATTATGCGCTGCTACTGTGAGCTCAAGGATTCGCAGCAAGATACTGTATACTTCTTTCACTCAAATTTGCTGTGTCTTACATTTATGACCACAGTAACTTCTTTTACTGCTTCTTGTGTTCTTAAAGGTCAGATATGGCTCATGTCCCCTGTCCATTTGGATATGCATGTGCATGTGTGGGTCCTCACAACTTCTCAATTACAAGTTGGTTTTATTTTGTAGAAATGTTTTGTAGAAGATATTGTTTATACTTAGCAAAATAAAACATTTATTTATTACGGTACTGTATTGGCACCATTATTGATTAATTTTTATAATATATATACTGATCTCATACTTAGATGCTGTATTTTATTGTTAGGGTGTTATCAGCCCTGTGTCAGTCAGTGTTTAAACTTGACACTATAGCTGTGAACCTTTACCCACCACACTGTTCCTGCCTTAGTGACTAACACTGTCCTAATAAGGCATTTAGCTTTTTTCCTGTCAGTTAATTGAACATCAGTGTCATAAAACAAATTACCGCCCTAGTAGCAAATGATAAATGGACTTATACAGCACTTTTTTCTGCACTGAAGCACAATTATTGTGCTTTAACACTATTTGCCTGTTCACCCATTCCCTCACACAAGCATCCACCCAGCAGTGATATCACCTGGAGCAACTTGGGGTCTAGTGTCTTGCTTAAGCACAGTAAAACATGTGGAATGGACAAGATGGGAACTGAACCCTCAGCTTTACAGTTAGGGAATGACTTGCTCTACCTCCTGAGCCACAGCTGCTGGTTTGTAGCTGTACTTTTAGTTCACTGTACTTTTCCCTAACTGATCAGAGCAGACACAACAATTAAAGAACACATACAACTAATGCATGTGTACAAATTTTAAAATAAATTTTTGTTCATACTGGAAATTAATGTGCCAAGTTGCCATAAGTAGAGATTTTATTTGTTCTACAATAGCTGTACTAACTGCTCTTGCTTGGGTGCAGATGTGTACGTGACAGTACTAAATAAGTGGTATCCCTGATTATAACTAAACATCCCACTAACGCCAAGTGTCTGCACTCACTAAAGGTTGTGTTGGCACATATCAGTTTAACAACCTGTGCTATGTTTTGTTGTTGTTGCTGCTGCTTTATTGTTTGTTAGTTTTTTTAGGAATGGGTCAAAGCGTCTCTGTAACCTGAATGGAGTTCTCACACTACTTGGCCATTCACCCATTTGCACTCCCAAACTGGTGTCATCACCAGGAGCAACTCGGGGTTCAGTGTGTTGGTCAAGGATGACTTTGACATGTTGACTGGACAAGCTAAGAATTAAACTGCTAATCCTCTGGTTAGGAGACAACCCGCTCTACCACCTGAGCCACATAAATTTGTCAATGTATGTACAGTATGAATAATTGTAGCCCTGATAACTTGGATTTTTGTTTTTGTAAACTGAAGGTATGTAATCACGGTTTATTGTAAACCTCAACCTCTCTTTAATCAAAATAAATTTGCTGAAGGCTTTAACAAATCCAAAAAACTAACAAACAAAAAAAGACCTAAAGCTGAATCACTCCAATTATTTGACAAGTACGTATAAGTGCATTCTGTAGTTACATAGAAACGTCTCATTTCTCATCACTTTTCACAGATTTGCAGAAGCTGAGAACTCAATGACCAACTTGTGAACTTGTGTTATATCCATAACAGAGGTTAGGTACATGCTTGAGCTGTAGTGAGGTTTACAGAAAACACTGGCACTTGTCAGATATGTAGGTGAGCCTACCTCAGTATTTATTCAACAACACAGAGGAAGTACTAGTTTGTGAATATTTACTTTTTGTGTGCGTTGAGGCTAGAGGTCAGTGTGTCAGGCTGTAGCAGCACATCATTACTGGTATTCCTTCTCTCTGCATTGCTGGTATGATATGTGCTGCTCCTATCAGACACACTCTTCTTCATCAGCATCTTCCTCCAACAATTAAGGAAAGGTTTTTGTACTTCTTATACGTTTCCTTGTAACCAATTGCACCCTATGGTGTATAGTATAATTTATTTAGAATACTGTATATTGGACTGATGGTGTTATGTTTGCATAGTGACCGTTATACTGACTACTCATAAAAGTCTAGTATATTAAATAGAAAATTTCTCCTTTTTGTTTTACATGTTTTAATACTAAACTGATAATATATCATGAAACCGAGCCTGCAATGGTCATTTGCCGAAGGTTTTACAGATTAAATGGTAAAATCAGAAAAGGAGGACAAACTGGATCAAAAAGGTGATTAATTCAAAATAAGGATGGAATATGGTCGAGATTATTTTGGTTTCCAGCAGTAGAATGTCGTTTGATAATACAGTGGAGGACAACATAAACAAGACTGAAACATCAGTGCAGTCTACTAATAATTTTTATTAAAGAGCATTGTGAAGGATTGAATAGACTTGCTTCAAAAGATCCTCCTGAGGGCTGTTCAGGCTCTACACAAACTATGTAAACATAGCTGTAAACACAAGGGTCACACAAGTATTTATGTACATATAAGCAGTGGCTGCCCTGCGTCTTGGCATATGCGGTACATCGCTGACCCAACAGGGGGCAACAGTCACTCGCCCATGGTCCTAATAAGGCCACGTGATTTATCCAGTAAAAATGAAAATTGTCACTGATAAAGTTACAAAAGAGGTGTGTGTACGCCATATCAGAAACACGCTGATGAACACAAACAACTTTGTACAGCTTGTTTTTTGTTTTGTTTTTTTAAACCAGAAACAGTTATTCCGCAGCAGACTTCAGTGTAGAGTGACTACGGTATTTACTGGCTGTATTTATGATTGTGTTACTGTCTCATGGTAACTTAGCAATGAAAACAGACATGATGGACTGCCAAACTCAAATAAGTTATATTGAAATGAACAGAAACTAACAGCTGACTTAAAAGGGAAACAAAATGCAAAGCAGTACAGCATGCTTTGAAAATTGCTCTGCAGTAATGTCAAATAGGAGAAAGCACATCCATCAGTTTATATATACAATATTTATAGAACAAACAAACAAATCACTTGTTTTGGCACTTGAACTTCCATGATTAAGTTTTATAACCAAGTCTGTTATAAATACAGGTTATTGCTACAAGACCTCTACAGAGAAATATAAAAATGACAACACCTCTACAGCTAAGCAACAGTTTATGTAATAGAGGCTAATTGCATTTTTGAACTTTAGGATGTGCTTGAAAGCACCAAAAATCTAGTAAGTTGACCTTGAGTTTAGGGTTTTCATTTTATGACTTACTTTTACAATATACCTGAAGAGAACTGGCTGTGTTTCTGGGACTTTAATATCAAGTCTCCAACAAGCCTCACAATTGTGGGATCTGTTGGTTGTGATAGGAATCCTGCATGACCTGATACAATATTCAGTACTATATTTACTCTAATGTGGACGGTCGGCATCATCTGGCCCAAAAGATGATTTCTATCAAATCCACAGGAAATGAAAGGTCAACGGGAGAGCAGAGGAAGGTCACTGGGATTCATGATGAGGCTGGAGTCCAGGTTCAGGTTATCTGTGGAGACAAACAAACTAAAATTTGTACAGCTCCACTAAGGGAAAAGTCTGGAATTATTTTATGTTTTATTACTGTCAACAAATTCCATCAATACTTAATGGTTTTCATACAATCTCTATAACTCTGAGTTTCAGAGCGGTTACTACTGAAATCACAGATCTTTACAAACACCTGACAAATATATAGTGCATTTCAAAGAAGAGCTTAATAATTTCCTAAAACCACCAGACACTATAGTGTTTAACAAACTTAAAGGTTTGGCGATCCTGGAAAAACCAGCAAGAGGAAGCTCGATTTTGAAAGTAGCCAACCAAAGAAATCCCACCCTTTCATTCTGAATTCTCTCCAAAGTCACTCCTCCCAAACAAAACAGATAAATACCATATTTTTTCTAAAATTTGAAGGCAAAATGTTAAATTCTGCATTTCTGAACATAAGTAGAAGGTACATGATCATACAAAATGTCAACACGATTATGACATTTTCAAGCTAGCTTTCAATTTGTGACCAGTTTTCAATATGTTCTGAATTTTGGGTGGTAGCAAGTACAGTAGAGATATTCTACAGCAGTCCTACCCAAAATTCTTCCTGCAATCAACCCTTCTGTGTGTTTCAGTAGTTAATGAACTTCACCTTGATCAAAGCTGTTGAGTTTTTTGGAGTTCGATTCGTCGCCCAGTCCCTCAATGTCCACAAGATCACTGTTGACATCTGAGTCATTCAGAGCACTGAGGGTCACATCTACACAGATTAGAAAAGTGACAATTTGTAATACTGTTTGTGAACACTGAACAAAGACATTAAAAAATACTACCTAAGCTAAAGTTAGTACATAAAATGCCTAATAAAATATTAGGCAGGGTGTATAGCTCTTCACAGCTTAATAAAGTGAATGATCTTACATAGTACATTTTAGAAACCTCAGCCAGAGCAACGGCAAAACAAACTACAAGTGCAAAACAGCTGTGGGAACTTCTGAAACTGTTATTTATAAGTGCCACAAGTGTGTTTGGTTGTATAATTGTACTAATAACAGCGGGACAAATGGATGTGACCCCAAACATCTGACTGGCAGTTGTGTGTGCGTGTGTGTGTGCATATATATTTTTATACAGTATATATATATAGAGAGAGAGAGAGAGCAGGCTGTCCCCTATTCATGCTTTGCATGTCTGCTAAGGTTGAGTGATGTCATTTTTTATTTTTGTCATCTTCCCAGGTTCGTGAGGGTCTGCACGGATTCTGTGCAGTCCACACAGCAAAAGCCCCAACTGTCCTTGTACCACAGGGCTTGCAAACCATCGGCGTACACATAGAGAAGGCGTGCGCACCTCTTTTCCCTGTCCACATAAAGAGGTATTCATGCTTTTCGCACATGCGGACAAGGACAAGGGGCACACACACGTTCCTATTCATACTTCAAATTGAGGGTTTGCCTTCTATACGCATACTTTTGGCCTGCATGTGGATGTCTGCACAGAGTCTGTGTGGGGGGAAGCTGACAAAAATTATGTCACTCAACCTTAGGGGACACCCAGATGTATAAAGCATGAAAAGCCTCTAAGCACGATGGTATGCACAGAGCAAGTCTGTCCCTTAACACACAAACACAGTGTAATAAAGTGAATGATCTTACATAATATATTTTACAAACCTGAACTGGAGCATTAACTGGCAGTTAAGCCACAGTGATGGAAACATTGCATAGTAACAGTCAATAAAAATTGTTGTGGTAGTAAAAACAGTCTGTGGATTCTGCTATAATTCTGCTCTAGAGTTTTGTTTTTTTGGGGGGGGGATGTACATACCTCTCCTTTCATTAATTTAAAATTCACAATATGTCAATTTAGGAAGGGGCAATACTGTCATATGCAAAATTATATTGTGTCCAAAGTCTTTGAATATTTTCTAATTATACAGTACATATATAACAGCAGAATTATTGTATTTTGTAGACATCAGCATCACTTGATGATATTGATGTCATCAACCATGATGGACAAAGACATAACATACAACAAAAAGGAAAGTTTAGTCAGTGTTGGGCACATTGCAGCGGACTGCTACATCCTGGTTGTGTTTGCAGCTGTAAAGTGGCACTGGTCTGTAGTGACACTCTGTAATCGATTTCTCCCTTCCTGTGCACTGGACACTGTTCATGTGGATGGGACCGGTACCTACAGAAAAGGGTGTGGAGCATCAGTTCACTGATCTCCATGTGGGCAAAGACACACACATACACTACATAAAAGTCTATACAACTTGATGGCTCTGCAGCCACACATGTCCCCTGAGAGAGATTAAAAGCCCAGGCATGACTGAGACCTCTGACGTGGCCCTAAAATTAAACTTAGCCAGAGAGCTTTATTATTTTATTGTACACTCTGTACTGCACACCAGGGACATGCTTTATAAACCAAAATAGATACAAAATGTGTGTGTGAGGCCACGGCTTAAGGCCTAAAAAGCCCTATAATTTGGCCTTAAATAGCTAATGATGTCATCAACTCTAGCTTCAAGTTCTGTGCCTGCGCCACCCATGAGCCTTCACACATCTCCTGTAATGCTCAGATTAATCTCTAATATGTTATACACCAATCAGCCATAACATTATGACCACAGAGAGGTGAAGTGAACAACACTGATGATCTTGTTACAGTGGCACCTGTCACTGTGTGGGGTGTATTACGCAGCAAGTGAACATTCGGTCCTTGAAGTTGATGTGTTGGAAGCAGGAAAAATGGGCAGCGTAAGGATCTGAGTGACTTTGCCAAGGACCAAACTGTGATGGTGAGATGACTGGGTCAGAGCATCTCCCACACTGCAGGTCTTGGTGGGTGTTCTTGGTCTGCAGTGGTTAGTACCTACCAACAGTGTCTAAGGAAGGACAAATGGTGAACTGGCGACAGGGTCATGGACGCCCACAGCTCACTGATGATGAGGTTGACCTACTGTAGGTTAAACCTTTAACTTCCATTTGTACTTTTCAAAAGATAAAAATATATTTGAATAGTTGTAAAATAGTTGAAAATGAGAAATACTGTACATTGGTCTCTATGAAGAAATAGTCAGGGGCTGTAGTGGTGATGTCACACCTAGAATTTGCCTAAAAAAAATCTCTAACTTGTCCTCACAACCACAGTTTTCACTCCTTTTACATATGTTTTTCACTGAATTGTAGACACATCTGTGCTCTTCCTGACAGTGGAACTGTGGAAGCAAATGGATTCACAGAAGATGCACAGTGAGCTGCAGAGTGACACGAGTGCCGACCAACTGTCACGTTGACTCCTATGCAAACAGTATTAGGCAGGTGGTCATAATGTTATGGCTGATCGGTGTATATGGTTGATCCCTGTTGTGGAAATAAAAAAAGCCCAGTCTGCTCTGATTAGTCAGCACTGAGCAGGAACTGCCTACCAACTCCAACTCCATGTTTGTCAAGCTTCAGATTATTTATATGATACACTTTCCAAATAGTTTGTAATACTGTGTAATATACTGTGGTAACACAAATAAAAGTTTGACTGTCAAACAGCCAAATATCTTGTGTTGTTTATGAACTCAACAGCCAAATTCTATTTTACATGTACCTAGCCAGGATGTTGTATGAACCAGATTTATTTTACTCTTCTACATACAACATATTAAGGTTTTCATATCACCTGCTTAACAATGGACAATAGTTACTAGGGCTGCCCCTTGAAAGTTGACTAGTCGAATCATTAGTCAAGAGGCCCGTCAGTCGAATGAGACTCTTCTAGTCAAAGCTGTTTTTATTTTATTTTTTTTTGTCAGCCCATGTGCATTACAATAGAAGGCAGCCCCATCTTCTCCTCATTTTGTTGTGGCAAACAGCTCAGTACTTCCACCTGTGGTCAGGGGGAATACTCACTTCCACTGTGGCATTATCTGATGCATGGACATACTGTATAAGGTCCATTAACACTATTTAGCAACAAGGAGAAAATGACAACAAGATCCACTAAGACAGGCAACATAAAGGTGAAATTTGTACTTTATTATTAGTGTTTTCAGTGTGTTTCAGAATCAGAACTTTATTCACCATGCACTGACACAAGGAACTTAGTACGCTACAGTGCTCACAGCTTGCTACACAACAACAGTCAGTAAGAAAAATAAAAGGATATACAGAGTAAAAACAACTTTAAATAAGGATAATACTACATAATAAATAAATAAAATAGAACAAACCAATGGTCCACTTAATCATCATGCCCAAGATACAGTGGGTATAGAAAAGAATTGCCCCCGTTTAAAATAATCTAATTTTGTTACTTTGCAGCTTGAAATGAATGAATGAAATGAAGGCAGTTTTGTTTTATCCAGCTGTATTTACTCAGTGCAACTTACAACATCCAAGTGAAAGATATAACACAGAAAAAATTTTACATATTCCAAAACAGAATCACTGAGTTGGAAAAAGAATCATCCCCTTGTGTCAGTATTTTGTTGAACCACCTTAAGCTTTAATTACAGCCTTTTCTTTTCTTGAGGAGTGGCTTTTTTCTTACAACCCTCCCATATAAGCCACATTTGTGGAGAATTTGTGATATTGTTATCACATCTTCCTACTAATGCAAACACGGCAGAATCATTGTCACGTGAGACCAAGATCGCACAGGGATCTAAATCACGCTCACAAAATGATTAATCATGCAACCCTAGTAGTAGTTATGTAAAATCTTTATGAAAGAAAATATTTCTGACCATTGCTGATAAACTTACTACTACATTTAAAAATGACAAAAGTTTTAAAAGCACTTTCACCTAAAAATCTAAAGGAAATATAAACTGGATATGTTGGGTATAATTTAAAAAAAAAAAAAAAAAAAAAAAAAAAAAAAAAAAAAAAAAAAAAAAAAAAAAAAAGCAAATCCATCACTTTAATGTAAACATCCTGGACCATCTCCTCCTGAAGGGTTTCTTGTACACTGAAATCATGTCAGCTGGAGGCAGAGCTTTTCTTGACATGTCTTCCTGTGGATACCCTGAGACCTTCCTGATGCTGTTGGACACTGCTGTCTTCAGACCATCACTTGACTGGACAACAGCACTCACCTGATGATAACTTCCTTCCTTTCCCAGAGTTGATGATGCTTAAACATGATAAGAATGTTGTGGTGTCATTTGGAAAGTTGTTTTATTATGTTTAATTTAGTATCTGTAATACCTCTAATCTCTTTTCATGTGCATTATTTTGAGCACTGAAAGTACTTTTCCAAAACTTTCACACCAAAGTGTGTATTTTTGTGCATATAGTAAATACTGTACTTTCAGTAGAGCAGATATTTGCTCTAAACGTCCTTACAGTGAAAACACAGAGAATATCCATAATACTAACAAATCTTTACCTCTGACATGTACTTTCTGTGCATTCATGGACAGCAGCGTACACAAAGATACAGCAGGTGGAGGGCAATTCCTGCAGTGGGTCTGGCTGTGAAGTAACTTATTGTTATAAGGAAGAATTACATACTTTAGTTTGGCAAGCGCCTCTTGAAATTAAAGAGGTCTTGTGTTACCATTGTTCAGTTTGTACACAGCGTATATAGAGTTTCTACAGCTCAAAGGTGCAGCAGAGTTTAATGCTGATGTATGAAAATATGGGACACATCCACTTTTTGACACAGGTGTAACCTTTCTATGGTTCCTTGAGCTAAAATGTTTCATATCAATGCTTAATTTCTTTCTCAATTCACCAACAATATCAAAAGAAAAATCTACTACTGTCATACCACTATTGTTGTCATACCTGGCTAGTGTTGTGAAATACCAGTAACATGTCATTTACATGACGTTTAGTGCCGTTATAATGCTAGATAAACAAGCAAAGTTACCACCATCCAACCAACTACCCTCAGGAAATTTGGTTAAAAGCGTTTCATACACATTCTCTGGCACATTCTGACTGTTCATCAAAATTATTAGCCCAAACACTTTCTGCCTGCAAAACAAGCTACTTTAGCTGCACAGCATTAAATTGTGGCTAATGTGTTTAAGTTAAACAGGCTAACTTCATAAACAAGCAGTAAATAACTTTAAAATAGCAACACTTACAGCTTTACGATCTGAAGTAGGGTCACAGACAGTCGGATTCAATCCATCCTTGAGCTTCAGAGTGGTTTAGCATGAAGGACCCAGGTCCGGATACGAGTACACTTAACCCCCAAAGTCCAGTTCATTTTGATCAGTGTGAACACAAACGTGCCCAAGTCCTCTTGAAAAGGTAGGTGGTCTCAAGCACAATTCATGCGTACTCCACCATTCAACCGTGCTCCAACAATGGATGTTTTATGAAAAACCTAGATACCGGACTGAAACATGGCGCCTATTCTGTCCAATGAAAGTTGCTTGTATGGTGCCAAAAAAAGTTTTTTTCTTACAGGTTTGCTGCCGCATTGTGGAGCCCACTGCACATGCGCATTTGTAGTTCCCATCATCATTCAGCCGGGTCAGTGTGAGCGAGCTAACCACATTCTGGGCAGGAGCAGCGCGTTCACGAGTGCGACCATAGTATGGGTGTATTACTGGATCAAATGTGTTAATAATTTTCATCCCAGAACTGTTATTATTCCACTTTCTTAGGTTTTGACCTATTTTAGGCGAGAAAATAACCCTCTAGTTTTTTAATATGTGGTCAATCTATCCAAGTAATGTGCTCTGACGTTTTCAGACATGTGATGACCCTGTAACCTGCCAGCTAGCTAGCTCTACTTAGCAGGCACAGCTGTAGCCATTGTGCTTGTATTATCACATTCAGTTACCAGTACATATACGCGATATGATGTACAGTATGGGGGCTCATGTAATGAACATAACAGGGGCTCGAGGCCTCTTTCACCATAAATTTCAAACTCTATAACACTTTTTAGTGAGAAGCGACAACCATGCTACTACTATTATGAATCATTACTCAATGTTATGAATGAATTAAGAATGAGTGACTGATGTCGTCACATGTACATAGCAGATAACCAAGCAATTTGGAAATTAGAATAGGTATGCCATGAAGAATGGCACCTGAATGGATACAAACACTGCTCAGAGGGTACCCAAAGAGGTTGGGGGAGGTTAGGGAGGACATGCAAAGTATTAGAGAACATTTAATAAAGGGGGATGCAATTTTTGCACTGATATGATTTTCATTATTTTACTATAACTTCATTTTTATACACTCCCTGACCATTTGTGTTACTTCTGTTGATGAAATAACATTAGTCCTAGCTGGATGTGCATTAAATATGTTGATAAGAGAAAAATTCTGTTTTATTCTTTTTGCCATTTGCCAAAGTAAGAGGATGCAAACTTTTGCACCCAACTGTAAACATGCAGGTCAATCATTGGCTAGATGATGGTAATGTGTCTGAGGTTGTGCATACTAGACAGCAGAGAGGCTGCAGCGCCTAGTGCATTTTCATTTGTGTAGTAGGCATTTGATAGAACAAAGTACATACAGTCAATAACACACAATTAAATGTGCCAAGGAATGGGAGAGCATTCATATGGAAGCTCAGTATATTGTTGAAGCCAAGAGTGCACACAAGATCTTGCAATTTTAAAACATAATGATATTTCTTCTCAAGGTAAAAGATGTCTGATGCTATCAGTACATAACACAACCAGGCCAGTATGATGGAGTGTGACAGTACACAAAAACACAACTCCCTGCTGTGCTTTAATGCACGGGGCTGCATTAGTCGTAGAGTGAGGGGTTGCAAGGGGACTGTTGTAGGCGTGTACAATATGGCCACATTGTGACAAATCAACATGAGTGGCTTCATTCACATTTCCAGCCTGTGAGTTTCTGTTGTGTTTCTGCACGGTCACAGGCTGGAAACATTAATGAAATACTTTTCACATCAACTTGTCACAACACAGCCCCATGTGTTAAAACACAGCAAGGAATTGAATTTTTGCCCGACTAATGTCAACATGTGGTCACACTCCATCATACTGGCTGGTTGATCTGGTTCTGTCATGTACTGATATCACAAGACAGCTTTTTCCTCAATGAGAAATATCATCACATTTTAATATCACAAGATCTCATCACACCCCTACCATTAATGGGTGTAGTTATTTGTGTGTTACCCCACAGGACTGGAGTCTGCCACTGGATGAAGCTGCATGGTGAGCTCTCCGAGTCTGGTGAAAGCAGCTCCAGCTGCAGAGAAGATTTCCCCAACCTGTGACAGTGTATAAAAAATGTCAGCTGTTGTCTTTCTTGTAGTAGTGCTATAATTTCATAAATGCACCAGAATATTGTGTTATGGTAACGGAGATTGAAAGATAAAGTACCAAATAGTCTAATTTTAAATAGCCTATAGCAGCCACCTCCTGGTAAACCATGGGTGAGTGAATGCTCATAGACGTATTTGTACCGGTGTTGATTGGCTATGATGGGCAGTTTGGGACCATACCACAAGCCTTCACAGTCTGTACAGGAAGTCAAACACATTTTCACATTTAATTTGATCCGCTTTAATAAAGTGTGTTATCAACCAAACCACTCATACATGCAATTATGAGACAGTCCCTTATCTCGGCTTGTCCTTT